AGATAATCGACCAGTGAGCTGCACAATCCATCTAATAAAACCCACCCAAACAAACCATTTCCCTGGTTTGTTGGTACTGTCTAGGTACTGTGGCAACAACATCTAAGGGGGTTTTAAACGATCAACCGTGGCTATACGCATAAAGAAACTTAAAAATAATTATACCCATTTACATTTTTTTTTACATTTTGCTATGTTACAGACACAAACCTTAGTGTTTCTTTTATCGCGATCTGTTAGATCAACTCAAAGTCAGGCATCATTGTAAATTTGAGGGTAAATTGCATGATTTTAGAAATCGATACGAATAAAAACCTGCATGTGGAATTCATTTATGTTAACATCATTTAATCTCAATATATCTAAATAAAATGCAAATACAAATCAAGTTCTCCTAAAGAAACATATATAACTTAACAGTGACAGCGTCATGCTTGGAGAATGCATTAAATACACATTAAATGCATGAGAGGTTAGAAAAAGAAAAACAAACATAAGATGTACTGTTTGTAGTTTGGAAGAACCCAAAGCAGACAAAATAGAGTCAAACATGGGGCCGTTGGTCCAAATAAGCTCAGATAAAGTAGCAACATCTCTCCACAATGATCTGAGAGAGCGAAAAATGTCCTAAAAAAATGACAGTTTGACGTTAAATATCTGCAAAAACGAGATTCTATAGAAAAAAAGTTGTGGAAAAAAAAACACTCGCAGGGAACGAGTTTACTTAGTTCTACAATTAAGGATAATCTACTTTCCCTTTATACACATAAAAGGGACAAATTGTTTCACATTTTGTAAAGCCTCTATGCCCTTAATCCCTTTCTGCATTGAGTTGGCATTGTCACTATCTGGTAGCATGATCCGTACCATCAGCTCATTGAACATATGCAGCCAGAATATATCCACCTTCCACTGTACTTTATTAAAAAGACCAAAATTATTATTTTTTCTCTTCCTATAATGAATTTGCGTACTAGACTACAATGTATAATAGGTTAATCATTTATTTCTTAGAAAATAAATGTCTTTAAATCCTTTCTGCTTAATCGCTCTTCTGTTCCTGATCTGTCCTGGAAAACGGATCCTCCACTAATCATGCTAATTAGTTTCACCAAATTGAAATTGTTTTGTATTTGGTAGATCCAGTATTCTAAAATGCTGTGAATCCACCTACTTGTTACTTTTATGAAAAAAAATATTACTAATAAATATCTCTAATAATATTTTCAAGCTATTTACAGATGGTGTGTTTTTGTGTTTGTAAAAAAAGATTCAACTTGATTTGTTTTGGGTTTTAAATCCCGATATGGTGCAGAACAGCTGAGAGGGGTGAAAATATGACCTCAAAACAGCATCTGAATGTGAACTGATCCGGGTCACTGACCTTAGATTAGAGCATGTTTTCCCTCAGATGTACTGTACCATGTTAAATAAGTACATGGACAGCCCCCCCTAGTGAACATAAGGAAACAAGCTATGCAGAAGGACCCATGACACAGAAGGGGTTATCTTATTAATCAACGATGGGGGTTGGTTTGTTAAATAGGAATTCAATCTACTACTAAAAGGGCAAATCTGTTACTCTGAAATGTTTCTGAACACTTTATGAAGCTGTACGTAACTGACAAAGCTGCAAAGAAATAAAACAATCTAAAGTAATACCAGGAGCGGCTGCTTGCGATTATAACTAAAGATTTAACGCAGTGGGAGAATCTTAATACTACTGTATGACTTAATGTACTGGAGCATTGCAATGGTTATCTCCGCCTCCCTGCATTGGAAATAGAGAAATTTGAGATCTCTGTGTTTCCGGCTAAGATGTTTATCTTTCCATTTGTGTCGACGCTGTTAAAGGATTTACTCCCAGTAACCCTCCCTCACTCATCCGGTTTCCAGCCACATACAGATTGGATTGTTAGATACCCGTCGACACAGGAAGCTCTCCTTCACCGATCAAGCCACAGGTGGCCAAACATTGGCCGGCTCCATTCAGCGCTATCATCTCAGGTAAGTTCATGTGTTCCTTCAGTGCAGGCGACGCGACTGATGGAGATGCATCAATGACAGCAACCACCACCCTCCTCTCTGGTCCTCACTCTCTTTTGTAGCCTACTCTACTTCTCCTGCCTTGTTTACTCCAGTTTTACCGAGACTATTTTTACCCCCTCGCCCAGAGGGCAAATTCAAATCCAGAGCTGCAACTGGGTGTCTCCTCTGCGACCCGAGTGTCTTACACTCTGCTCACACCAACCAATCTGTACTGAAAGCAATCTGCTATGTCACATGCTTTATTGGAAAAAAGCTCACAACCTTATTTTTTTTCTCTTCTTCTTTCCTCCCAGTATCTCTTACTGCACTGAAACAAATAATGCATCGCTTTTGGCATTTACTTAAGCATATTTAGTTATTTTAACACAATTGTTTCATGTCCTACCCTCCTAAATGAAAAAAAAATAATGTGCTAAAGTAACTAAATATGATCAAGTAAATGCCAAAAATGATTGCGTTATTGTTTTTAGTACAAAGTAGATAAGTGGCTAGGGCTACCCCTTAGTGCTATGTGAATCAAAGTGAGGCATTCGTAAAAAAGCAACTTAAGGAAACATATGACAATTGTTTCTTCTCCGTCGTTATATATTGTATATCAGAAGTCAAATTATTGAAGAGTGTATTATTTGCACACGTTTTTTTAATAACACACTTGAGAGGCTGCTAAAAGCTGCACAGGGCAAAACCTTTGGGGATAACAATGTCTATATACACTTACCTTAAAGGTCATAGCTACAACTTTTTCATCAAAATGTTGTTTAAAAAAAAAAAGAATACATTTGCAAAACATGTGGAATAAAATTTTAATATATTGATTGTCTTTGTTGTAAATTTTGAACGATCCAAAATAGAGCTGAAACAACTAATCAAATTAATCGATTATTGAAATAATTGCCAACTAATTTAGTAATCGATCCACTGTTAAGTAGAGTATAGAGACTGTAAAATATGCTTTTATACCACTTAGAGCAGTAATTATATAAAAATTGCAATGAAATATATAAACATTTTGCATTTAAGAAAACAAAAACTTTTTTGTCTATGTGCTCTATCCAGAATTCCTCAAGTGGAAACGTTTTAGTTTCACCTGGTTTATTTCATAAAAATTGTCTTCAAGGCAACCTTTGGCTATTTGATTATCAATTAATTAATCGTATTTGCAAAATAATCATTAGTTGCAGCATTAGTCAAAAATACTTTATATCAACATTTAAATCTTAATTTTGCACCAGTAGATATAGTCATGTGAGATGGAGCTCAGATGTTGCCATTTTCTAGTAGCTCCATGGCTTTTTTATTTTTTCGCATTTCTCAGATTAAATCAAAAAAAAACAAAACGAAGGTGAACATCAGTCAACCTTTTCAGACTTAAGGGCAAAAAGGGGCTCAGAAGCCACAATGAGGTTGCTGCTTTTCTTCTAAAGTGGTCAGTAAATGTTCGTTGATCTTAAGTAATGCGAAAGAAAGGCTAGCATTAGCGGACCTGGCAACCAGCTGGCAAATAATGGAACGAGCGCATTGATTACAGCCCTGGGAGGAGTTTAACTTGTGGCTATTACCTTTAAGCATAAGTATGCATAAACGGAATTTTTTTAATATTTTTTAAATCACTATCTTTTAGAAAAAAAAGTATGCTTTCATTTCTTTGTAGAAGCTGCTTTTTAATGAACCCCAGCTGCAAGCTGTTTTGTTATTGTGCAGCTTTAGCACAGCTAGAGACCGAAACGCTTGTCATTCATCTTCGCGAAAATAGCTCACTGAGATCAGATGAAGATAAACACCAGTTCTCAGATTTTTTTTTATTGCATTTAAATATCCAGTTTGACTCTATTTAATCCATTCCAGTCTAGCTGTGGCTGCATGTTTGGTGCTGCTATCCCTCTATTCTAACCTCTATCCTAGTCTGAAATCTTCTGCAGCCTTAACCTTCATCCATCTTCCCATTAGCTGAAACATCCACACAGCATTATGCCACCGCCGCAATGTTTCAGTGTAACGACGCTGTGCTCAAGGGGACGAGGGAAGAGGATGCGGTGTTAGTTTCCTGCCACACAGAGCATATTAAATGTAGATTTTAAAAAGTTCTTCTGCCTCTTTGCCTAAACGTTCCTCCAAATCTTGGATTTTTTGCAAACTGCTATTTTTTATTTTGTACCACCTTCCTTTAAATAAAAAAAAAAGTTGGCTAAAAATTTCTGTGATTTCAAATATCTGAAAGACTGGTCCTCTGTCATCCTGTTTCCATCTCATTGGTGTCATCCTGGTATCCTCCATGCCCATGCATTAATCTTATTTTAACCCTAACATCCTGTTGACTCCTCAGTCTTTTCCCACCACAATTCATGACCACAGGACAGACCACCAGAAGGAAATTGCAAAAGGCATGGAGGTGATCAGTCTGTTTAACTAACTTCTTTGGCAAGGAGAAGAGTTAATGCTGACCTAATATTAAGGAGAAGTTGCAGTCACAGGAATGGTGCTTAAGAATGAATTATTTCAGGCTGCTCTTCCATAAAAGCTAGATCTATATAGTGCACAACGCTCTTTCCTTTTAGTTAAGGTGGGACAAATTTATGTGACAGTCTGCATTCTCATAAGATGGACTAAAGACTGTTGTCTGGGCTTATGGACAAAACTGTTCCAGTGGGTTTTACCTCAAGGCATCAAAATAAATAGATTTACTTTTACTTTGCACTATATTTTTTCTTGCTTAATGGCCTAAAACATGTTAAAGTTAATGGCAGACAGTTCAAGAAGTCTCTTGCAGATATTTCTGCAAGGTATTCTAATGGCTTTGGTGTCTAAATATACAAGAACCAGCTGAAAGATAAAATAAAATTGAGCTGCAGTGTTTAATATCCCTTTGGGATCGTGTATTTCTGAATTGAATGATGAGGGTATCCGTGGGATCCACTGGATTGAGCAGCAGGTGTCACGCCGTCGGGTCTTACCATCGGGGTTGGCGCAGATGAAGACCCGCACGCTGCGGCCGGTGGGGACGTGGTGCGGCGGCAGGGCGTTGATGTTGCCGCTGATGGCCGCCCTGCGCATCGCGGACTCCCGCGGGCATGGCTGCCTGCTCCCCACTCCCGACGGCCACATGGGAGGCGACTTCCAGCGTGGCTGCACGCACACACACACACATGTTCCTTACTCATATAGCTGGACATGAATTTACGCGCAGATTCCCTCTGATCCACACGCGCGCATTTAATGGGGCGTTAAAACAAGCCAAATGCTTATATTTTACATGTCAATTTTTAATCTCATGATGAATATTTGTACTTTTTGGAAGCAGATTCTTAATAAAATCCTGTTTTTTATTTCTTTTTCAATAAAATATAAAACATCTACAGGTCATGCCATATGCCGTAACCCCCATTAACGCGCGCGCACAAACAAATCAGTCAAGTTAGAATAAATCTGCCAAATCTGCTCCAAAAAAACACAAGAATGAGACTGAATGAATCAGTTAAGGCATTCATTATAATAAAAAAAAAGGAGCTTACGCACAGCCTACTATACCGCCACGGTGCATGCGTAATTTGCAAACATGTCCTTGGACGCATTCATGAATTTTCATGCCACTGTGGGGACAAAACAGACAAAAACGAGACGATACAGAAGTCGGAACAGACGAGCAAAAGCAAGCATCAGTCGGGTTCCCCACCCCAGAGAGAGAGAAGATGCTTGATGAGGCGAATAACCGCTAAGAAAGGTTATTCCAGATGCCAAGTGAGGTGCTCGCTGGTTTTCCCGGAGTTTCTTTATCTTGAAATCTTTTGTTTCAGAGATGGAAAACCTCGAAGGGAAAAAGGACAAGAGTAAAATAAAAAAAGAAGACAAGAAGTCCAACCCTACATTAAATCCTCAAAACAAGGACGCGTGATAGTGGGACCACAGAGGCACCGCATCCACGGATAAGTAGGGGTCTCTACTAGTGATGCTGGAGGCAGGCACAACAGCGAGGATGCACTTTTGTTGCTCACGTTCATGCGCTTCATTCCGCGGCTTCCGAAAATGTCCAGGCGGAGAGAAGAGGGTCGATAAAATGCCCATGAGAGTGGCCGTGAGCGAGGCGGGACGTCAGGAGGCGGCGAGGGTCGGAGCGCTCCCCCGTGGCATCCTGCTGGGTTCCCCGCGAGCCGACCGTTTGGAGACGGATAGAGGCGGCAGAGAGAGAGAGGGGGGACCGGAGCATAAAGCACGCAGGAATACAAGCACCATTTCCGGTTCTTCCTTTCAAAATAAAACCCATCACCTCCAGTTCAACCTATTTTTAAATATTTATTTAAATCCTCTACTGTAAAATAAGTAACAATAAAACAAATATGTAATAAAATTATTAATTTAAAGGTTTTTAGCCTTGTACTCACATATGGCGTCCGTTGGAGTGACTCTATTTACACATTTCCGACCGTTTCTCAGCTTTGAATATGGAGCTTGACCAAATAGGCAGAGGATGCTGTGGACGTCCCTCCTCCTCCCTGTCAGCCTCCTCTGGGCTGAGGGGAGCTCACCTCAGGCCCTATTAAAATTCACACTACACGCAAAGTCAGCAGTGAGTAATCGTAAATGACGCTACGACTCTTATTTCCAAAGGATCCAAATTAAAATCTGGAGCAATATGTCAGCAAAACCATCAAGTTGAAGTTATGTGTTAGTCTACTTCTTGTCTATTGGAAATCATGTTTTCTATAGATTATTCAGGGGTCTTCAACGTTTTCCAGGCCAGGGACCCCAAAAATAATGGTGAATGGAGCAGGGACCCCCTAATCAGGGACGGAGCTAGTTGGGGGGCGGGGGGTGGCCATGGCCTTAGCCAATCTGTGGCCACCCCTACCATTTTTCCCCTCTAATACACACAGTGGCAGCCATGGGCGGTTCTAGACAGGGGCCAACGGGGTCCAGTGCCCTTGTAGATTATGTCTTGGCCTCTGTTATGGCCCCTGTACTGAAGACATAATACTCATAATATGTGTACTGGAACATACAGGGTTACTGATAGGTCCATTGGCTTTATTTCATTTTTTTTCTTTACAAATTCTGTTTTACTATTTAAATACAATAAGGTGATAGCTTCAGTGGTGTTGAGATAGGATCTCAGTTTTCATCTGTAAAATGTTTTTTTCAACAAAAAAAAAAATGTAAAAAAAAAAATGCTTTATTTTTACAGCTGAATTTTTCAGTTTTTCTCGAGTTCTAATTCATATTTTATTCTAAAAAATGATAATTTTGACTAACATTAAGTCAAAAATATGTAAAATTACAAAATTATGAATGTATATTGACCTAATAAGAAATAGGATCTTAATTAAACCTATTTGAATAGAAATTTCACTTCATGCAGCTCTCTTCATATATTTGAATCCCTTGTCCTTTTTTTTTTATTTCATGCTTTTCTGTCCCCCCATGAAAACAGGCTGGCCCCCTCCTGGCCCCCTGGTACATTTGGTCTAGAACCACCACTGGTGGCAGCAGTGATACCCCCAATGGAATATTCAAAAGATTAAAAATTTTCATATATTCCCTGACAACAAAAAACCCTGTGGTTAATTATGCTCATCAATATATTAACATTAAATATGATAAATACAGAAGTCAAGCTCTTTTCAGAGCTAGATTTTGTGTTATATGGGTTAAGAGAAAAGGATTTGTCTCTGCAAGTCATCTAGGACTTGAGAGTCTTTAGTGAAATCATAGATAAATAAGTATTTAATAAAAATGTATTAAATAATCAATTCATGTAGATATTAGTACATGTAAATATCAATTTTATGCTGAAGTATTATTGATAAAAGTAGGTAAGTAATGACAATGGGAAAGATGTTTGTCCCAGCACTCAAACCTAAAAGAATTTTATCCATTATACCTTTAATTTAAACACCATGGATGTTTAAATATATGCGTCTTTTTGTTTGCAAAGGCTGTAGGTAAGTATAGTTAATCTTTATTTTGAAAATATGGACGTTTTGCTCATGAATTTTCCTGTTGGAACAGTGTAGATTGACCCTGAGGTTCTGGTGCCGATCCACTTTGGCCACCCCTCAGTCTACATTGGTTATTGCCTGGCCACCCGTATAAAAATCTTCTGGCTACACCTCTGCCCCTAATTATATATATTGTATGACATTGTGTTGTATCAAACAATATAGTCACTCTATTACAGATGGAGTCCTTAACAAAAGGACCCTGGGATTATTCAAGTATTTCTGATTCTGATTCCTGGTTGATGGGACAGGTGTTGTGAATGAAACTCAGCTCCTGTGTGTTGCTGAATGTGTGCATTGATGACTGAAACACATCTTCTGCCTCTTTATCTGTTACTAAAGTGTGTTGAATTCATGTTAATGTAGATTTAAAGATATTTCAATCAGTGGTAAAAAAAAAAATTGCAGGGGGTTAATATATATATATATATATATATATATATATATATATATATATATATATNAAATAGGATCTTAATTAAACCTATTTGAATTGAAATTTCTCTTCATGCAGCTCTCTTCATATATTTGAATCCCTTGCCCTTTTTTTTTATTTCATGCTTTTCTGTGCCCCCATGAAAACAGGCTGGCCCCCTCCTGGCCCCCTGGTACATTTGGTCTAGAACCACCACTGGTGGCAGCAGTGATACTCTCAAGTGGAATATTCAAAAGATTAAAATTTTTCATATATTCCCTGACAACAAAAAACCCTTTGGTTAATTATGCTCATCAATATATTAACATTAAAGATGATAAATACAGAATTCATGCTCTTTTCAGAACTAGATTTTTTGTTATATGGGGTATAGAGAAAATAATGTGTCTCTGCAAGTCATCTAGGAATTGAGAGTCTTTAGTGAAATCATAGATAGATAAGTATTTAATAAAAACGTATTAAATAATCAATTCATGTAGATATTAGTACATGTAAATATCAATTTTATGCTGAAGTATTATTGATAAAAGTAGGTAAGTAATGACAATGGAAAGATGTTTGTCCCAGCACTCAAACCTGAAAGAATTTTATCCATTATACCTTTAATTTAAACACCATGGATGTTTAAATATATGCGTCTATTTGTTAGCAAAGGCTGTAGGTAAGTATAGTTAATCTTTATTTTGAAAATATGGATGTTGTGCTCGTGAATTTTCCTGTTGGAACAGTGTAGATTGACCCTGAGGTTCTGGTGCCGATCCACTTTGGCCACCCCTCAGTCTGCATTGGTTATTGCCTGGCCAACCGTATAAAAATCTTCTGGCTACACCTCTGCCCCTAATTATATATATTGTATGGCATTGTGTTATATCAAACTGGTCACATAGTCACTCTATTACAGATGGAGTCCTTAACAAAAGGACCCTGGGATTATTCGAGTATTTTTGATTCTGGTTCCTGGTTGATGGGACAGGTGTCGTGAATGAAACTCAGCTCCTGTGTGTTGCTGAATGTGTGTATTGATGACTGAAACACATCTTCTGCCTCTTTATCTGGTTACTAAAGTGTGTTGACTTCATGTTAATGTGGATTTAAAGATATTTGAATTAGTGGTAAAAAAATTGCAGGGGGGCAATATATATATATATAAAAAAAGTCAAATCAACCAAAACTTTCACAACCCTCATGCAGTACCTCCGTGGACCCCCTGTTAAAAACCTCGGGATTAAGCTATTCATCTTCTCACTCATCATGTGGCAGTTTTTTACTTTGGCAGTAACTATTTTCTTTTTTCCCTTCTTCCCACAAGGACAACATCCAACTGGTTTGCTAAACTGGAGCCATATCATGTTGCCAAGCCTGGGAATTAATGCTGCCCAAAGGAGTTCAAATTCATATCATCACTGAGAAAAAAAATGACTGAGAAAAAAAATGCATGCATTTGGTCACAAACTTAAAGTCCTTCTTTTCTTTTTTGTTTGTTTTTTGCTTTAAAGTCCCCTCTGAGTTTGGGATTTTCCCACTTATAGCCTATAATAGCAGCTCTTCTAATTGGCTAAGAGAAGAACATCACCTGAGGTTAGGGCTGTGATCAACTGAATGAATGTTGATGAACTGCAGTCAAAATGAAAGAATTAAAACTCTTACATAAATATGTCACTTTTCTTATTTTAATATTGCCTCTCTTTTTATTACTTAATGTATCCCCTATATTTCTGACACAGGAACCTTCCCAGGATCTGTCCACAACTTTACTGTCTATTTTACTTTTGTCAGGGTGTACCTGAGTGTCCCTTTTGCTCTGGCAGGTTGAGCAATGGGGGGAGGAGGGTTTAAATTAATTGCTTTATCGATAAATGCACCTCTGCTCTGCAGCCTCTGGTTATTCGCGCTGCAAGTTTAAGTGCATTGGACTTGTACTAAATGGAATTGATTACTATACTGCTCTTGTGAGGGTGGTGGTGTTGGTGGAGGACTGAACCATACATATTTTTTCCTTGCCTCTCAGCCACTATACTCCAGTATCTCTCTGAACCTAATGAGAAATGTGTATGAACTTAAACAAAAGTTTAACATTAGGACTTTTAAAATTTGATATCATGTACAATAATCAAAGCTGCTGCATGGATACCAACTGTCCTTATTTACATCCAAATTGCTCATCTGTTATTACCTCAAGATGTCAACAAAAGCAGAATTAAAAGATAGCAATTAGATTCATAGATGTATGCTGTATTGTTATATGAATCTCACTTGAGTTAGAAGGTTTTACATTTCAGGTTAATAATTTATTCAAGTAAATGTAGAATTCTTACCTGATCAGGCTGCGGAGGAATCACTGCTGCAGGTCTTACGCTGGGTTAAGGAGGATTTTGGATCTGCAGGCTCTCTTCGACCCATTTAAGTCACCCTCCAGGGCCACCGTATCACACCAGAGCAAAACTGAGACTCTGGTAGAGCTTAACTGGAGCACCAGGGGACCAAGGCCTCGTTCCCAACAGTGTTATGACCTTTCCTTATTTGATTGTTCCGCTTCCTTTCATAACACCCTGCTAGTTAATCATGGGTGCACCTGCACTGGATTATTACTCTGCAGTCTTTTCTAAGAACAGGTTGAAGGGTTGATTGGATCAGGATGCATAGATTTCATTCTTGCTTAAGCAAAGCTCTATTTGAATGTAACAATCTTCAAGAATACAAAAAAGAAAAAAAAAATCCCCCATTATATCTTGAATGTATGAATGCTGCAC